TCAAAACCAGTAGGCCTAGTCCATTTGAGCCTAACCCTACCAGTATGAAAATTTTCGTGAGAATTGGACGATAATTGCAATCTATATAAAATAACCCCAACCTGTGTTGTAAGGTGAAAAAATATTACAAAATATATACTTCAATATTATAAGTCAAATTGAAAAATAGCATGCGATAAAAAATATGAAAAAACAAAAAATGTCACAAAATACTACAAAACCTATATTGACATCATTAATGACATCTTTTTATGCAATTTTTTAGATTCTATACTTTTATACCAATAGGGCATTCTGAATTGACAAAATTTGTCAGAATCGGTCCAGCCATTCTTGAGATATATAATGCTTATATCCCCTTCCTTTTTATTTACACATTGTATGTATTTCGCTATATATATCCGATATATTAACTATCGGCATCGACGTAACGGTCAGAATTGACCTGTTCGTCTGTTTGTGATTTCGTCGGGATTAAAAATATTCGCGGTTTAATGGAAAATATGACTTTTATTTAACACAAATGTTATGGTTATGGTGTTATGGTTTCACCCACTAAATATTACCGATGACCATCAAAATTGGAAGACTTCTAGCCACCCTTAAAATCTAGCTCCATGCTATCTTCCACTTGGATTGGTCCATAATTGCGACCTGTAGAGCAACTGCAAAATCAGGCATTTTTTCCGTTGTTGATCCATTTCAACCCCTAAATATTATGCAATCATCTCTAAAAACAATAGGGTTCTATTCTGATCATAACCCCACCTCCATTTTCAATTTCGTGAGGATCGGACTATAATTGCGACCTGTAGAGTGATTACAAATTAAAATGGACAGACGGATAGACGGACGGACGGACATACATAGCTAGATCGACTCAGCTCGGCGAGATAGGAAGATCCATATATACTTTCCTATGTGGGAAACCAATATTTCGAGGTGTTACATAATTTTTGGCCCAATCAAACTTATAACACCCCCAACACATAGTGTTGTAGGGTATAAAATAGATTATGTTACGTCCTGTATTAATTGCGTATTCCAGGAAGCTCTTGCACCAAAGTATTTGATAATGCTTCTTAGATTTATGTGTCTTAAGGTAAGGTCACATTGAGCAAATATTTGACCCAAACATGTTTTATCATATTTTCCCAAAAAAATGTTGTTTTCATACAGAGTTCATTTTGTGTGCACATTGCTCACATTTATTTGACAAATTTTGTTTGTTCAAACACCCATCAAATAGTGGCAAATAAAGCAATGACAAAACAGGTTTGACGTGCGATCACATTTGAAAAATATATTTGAATAAAAAGCATTTTGATCAAACTGTCAAAAAACAAAAAATTGTTTGGTCGAAATATTTAAAAGAAGTTATGTAGTAGGAAGAGGCGCTTTTTATTTTATGTTGTGGTGCAGCATTATATATTGCCGTCAAAGAGGACGAATCCATGAAAAATAGAAAGAAAAGACCATGGGTTCGAGAATGGTTGCGTCAAAGAAAAGAGGAAGGATGTTGCGTAAAATTGCTGACTCAACTGCGGGCTGAAACACCATCGCTCTATAAAAGTTTCTTGAGGATGAACGCGGCAGATTTTGACAATTTGGTTCCTTCACTAGAGCAATGAGTTTAAAAATATCTTCCTCTGCCCACTCCTTTGCAACCTTTGGCTTTCCCCGAGATTTCTTCTGCGGCACTTCATATTTGATTTCCCTTTTATTTATTAATTTTTTTGGAATTACTTCTCACTTCAACTTTCTATTATTCCTTTTTGTCTTTTTGTAGGTAAACGTTTATCTGCACAGCTGTTTTACATGTCAATGTTGTATATGAAATAAAAACGCTTTTAGCGATCAACGTCTCTTGGGATTTTAATATACAACTTTTCAGTTGTAAATCGAGTAATTTTGGTTTTAATTGGTAACATTCCATTTGTAATTCGAGAAATACATTTGTAATTCAAATTATTGCATTTATAATTTGAATATGTCTAGTTGAATTGAATTTCAATCCAGTTGTAAATTGAGAATTCTATTTTTAATTCGAATAATTCCATTTGCAGTTCGAATAAAACTAAATAGCATTGCAATTGGAATTCTCAATTTAAAAAAGTAAATTATTTGAATTACAAACATATTGCTCAAATTACATATAAAATGTTACGAATTAAAACTAAAATAATTCCTTTACAACTGAAAAGGAACAAAAAGATATTTGTATGTTGTTGTTGTTATCTGCAATGCATTTGCGGTATTAATATAATAATATAATGTGTAAATATCAAATTGCTTGAGAAAAGTGATTTTTAAATATAAAAAGCTGACAACAGCTGTTATTTCTCACTGTTTTCTCATACAAAACCATTGTAAGGTCAAATAAATGTTTACTCTAAATAGAGAAAAATATTTGATTAAAGGTGTTCACATTGTGGCCACATTGATCAAAAATTTTCTTTGCAGACAAATAACTTTGTTTTCTCGAAATCAGCTGTTTTTGTGTTTGCCCTACAAAAATATTTTGTGGTCAGATTGTGGCAAAGAAATATTTGAACTTTTTCGTCAAATATTTGCTCAATGTGACCTTACCTTTAGTGGCATTTGAAAAATTATTTTAAGCAATCGACATCTATTAGAGGCACATGAAAAATGTTTTAAACGAAATGGGGGTACTTTATAAAATATTCGAGAAAAATCCACGTTTGCATTTAAAATATATAACACTGTGCGACAAATTTCAATTTTTCCATAATTACGGTGCTGATTTTAGCGGCATTATTCACGAGAATTGTTTCAAATGTCGTATTTGCAGTTCGTAACTGGTACTACAGCCTGTGACGGAAAATTGCGTACGCAGTCTTCCGTCTTCCGTATAGCTCCCATATAACGGTACCTCCCTATATTTGGCATTTTAATGATAATAGCGACATTATTAACCGGATTTTTTTAATTTTCGTATTTGCAGTTCGTAACGGGTACTACTACTGTCTGCCGTCTTCGTATAGACTTCAATATAGCAATAACTCCCTAATTAGTATTAGAATTTTTATGCTTTTTAACATTACTTTTAAACGTATTTTATTTGATTTCAAAATTCCTTCCAAATGGTGGAGGGTATTCAAAGTTCAGCCCGGCCGACATTACTGGTTTTATACTTGATAATACTTAAATCTGTCATAATTTGAGAAACAAGTCGATGATTCTTTTAAACAACCAAAAATCTAATGTGAATATATAATTCATCGGCTGACTCCTTCTGGAAACCACCCCCCCCCCCCCCCAACAAAAGGTTTAAATTTTGAATAACAATTATTCGCATAACCTTTAAAATAAATGTTATATTTTTTTTACATTCTGCTCATCTCATCTGACACCCCATTTAAAAATCTTAAATCAGAAAATCTTAATACGCATTTTATAATTATTAGATGACGAGTATTATTACAGTTTTTGCATATATCCTAAGTTTCCTTTGAATGTTACGGTCTACGAAGTTTTAAATACATGGGATTTGTAGATATAACATAAAGAGTTGTCCGCTATTGACCCTATTCCTACACGTTTTTATACCCTCCACCATACTATGGAGGGTATATTAACTTTGTCATTCCGTTTGTAACTCCTCGAAATACTCATGTCAGACCCAACAAAGTATATATATTGTTGATCAGCGTAAAATTCTAAGTCGATTTAGCGATGTCCGTCTGTCTGTCTGTCTGTCTGTCCGTCCGTCTGTTGAAATCACGCTATCTTTCGAATGAATTGAGATAGATGGCTAAAATTTTGCACACATGTTTATTTTTCCAGTAGGCAGGTTAAGTTCGTAAATGGGCCATGTAGGTCCACGTTTTCATATAGCCCCCATATAACGGTACCTCCCTATATTCGGTATTTTGATGATTTTAGCGACATTATTCAACGGAATTGTTTCAAAATTGGTATTTGAAGTTCGTTATGGGAACTACAGTCTGTGACAGAAAATTGTCTGTGCGGGTCCAGGTCTTCGTATAGGCCCCATATATCAGTACCTCTCTATATTCGGTATTTTGACGATTTTAGGTACAATACCCACCGAAATTGTTTGAGATGTGGTATTTGAAGTTCGAAATGGATGCTACAGCCTGTGACAGAAAATTGTCTATGCTGGTCCAGGTCTTCGCACAGCTCCAATTTAACGGCACCTCCTTATATACGATATTTTGATGATTTTAGCTACATTATTCACCGTTTATTTCAAGTTTCGAATTTGAATATGGTAATGGCTTATGACAAACAATGCCTATGTATGTCCACGTCGTATAGACCCCAATATAACGGCTATATTCGGTATTTTTAAAATTTTAACAGAATTTTTTAAAGATTTTATTTTTTAAAAATTTCAAAATTCGTTGCACTTGGTGGAGGGTATTAAAAGTTCGGCCCGGCCGAACTTACTGCTTTTTAACTTGTTATTTTTCAGTTCGCACTACGATAAACATAGGACTGATGGACATCGTAAAATCGACTCGAAATGCCCCCCAAAAACACATCTCGCCCAAAGAGATATTGGGTTCAAAAACGTTATTTCGATCATTTATATCATATCTAGCCATATGGTTGAGTGTATAAAAAACACGTGAAGATAATCCCCCTGCTACCTACCCTGTTCTTCATTTACGCCCATTAATATAAACATGTTATGGAACATAGAATATCTGCCGGCACATAATAGCGGCCAATAAAACAGCAAAATTGATAACTTGGAAATTATTATCTACAACCTAATGGGTTGCAATTAGTTTTCATTTTCATTGAGTGGATACCGTTTCGGAAGTAACGGACGTCGTAATGTTTGTTCCTAAAGTGTCGATTCTTCTACTTTTGGCCTTGCTACTCAATTTGCAATCTGTGCAAGGGAAGAACATAACGGATTATCATCTAAATTATGAGGGGTAAGTGAGGGGGAGTGGAATTATTAAAATCGACAATTTCAAAATATAATGCTCTGCTTTTCAGTTATAAAATCTTCGACATTCATCTGGAGAATCCTAAAGAATATAAGAGCTTTATGGACGATTTTCACAAATCCCTAGATGTCATTGGCCGGGGAGAAGAGCCACATAGCATACGGGTGCTGTTGGAACCATCGAAAATACCAACCATCAAAAACTATCTAAAGAAACACCACCTGACATATGCCACTATCAATAACAATGTTGCTAAGAGTGTGCACATCGAAAGAGTGGTTCAACGTGCCAGTCGTTCCGCTGCCAACAATAATGACGACGATATCAACTTTTATAGCTATCAGCGTTTTGACGTTATCAATAAATACTTGGATAGATTGGCAGCGGAGTTCCCCCAACAGGTGAACACTGTGGAATTGGGCCAATCGTATGAGGGTCGTACCCTAAAAGCTATACACATTCACAGCCAGCAGAGCGGTGACAAATCGGAAAAGAAACCTCTCATATTCATAGATGCTGGCCTGCATGCCCGCGAATGGATTGCCCATGCAACGGCTTTGTATGTCATACAACAATTGGTTGAAAATGCAACATTCTATCGAAGGGAATTGGAAATGTATGATTGGCTGATATGGCCGGTGGTGAATCCCGATGGTTATGAATATTCCCATACGAGCGAAAGATTTTGGCGTAAAACAAGACAACCCGATCCAGAGGGGTATTCCAAATGTGTGGGGGTGGATTTGAATCGAAATTTTGATTTCTATTGGGCTTTTGTGGGTAGCTCTTTTGATCCCTGTGATATTGATTATCATGGACCTGAACCATTTTCAGAGCCGGAAGCAGTTGCCTTAAGGGAGCTGCTGTTCAAGGTGAACGATACATGTAAAATGTATCTCACACTGCATTCGTATGGTGGTTATTTCCTGTATCCCTGGGGTTATGATAAGTAAGTAGATGATTTAAAAATTTAACAAATTTTATAGAAATAATTTATTTCTGACTTCAATTTTAGTGTTTTACCCCCAAATTGGCGTTATTTGGATGCCGTTGCCCGTGCTGGGTTAGAAACTATTCGCAATGCTTCCGGATCTTTTTATACGGCAGGCAGCAGTGCCCGCACCCTGTATCCCGCCTCGGGAGCCAGTGATGATTTTGCCTATGGTGTGGCCAAAATTCCTGTTGTCATGTGCATGGAGTTACCTTCCGGTGGTAGTGGGTTTGATCCCCCTGCTGATCGTATACTGCCTTTGGTCGCAGAAAGTTGGCAGGGGATACGTGCTATGACACGGGAGGTTCATGATTATCCCTTACGTAATGGTGCAAGAGATATTGAATTTAATTTATTGTTGGGAATTGGAATTTTATTATTTGTTTTTATTCAATTTTAAAATCTAATACAAAATATTGGAAACTAAAAAAAAGAAAAAAAAAAAAAAAACAAGTAAGCAAAGGCTACAGTCGAGCGGGGCCGACCGTTGAATACCCTACAACACTATAATAAACCATACAGTTTATATAGGCGAAGTACTCGACAGAATTCCACAAGATATTGAGACAAATAATTAAAGAAAACCATCAGGTTTCGTTCTCTAATTTTCGAAAAATAACAACTTAAACTAATTTGCTCATTTCCAATTTATTGGTAGATGTTGCACTTAAATGGTCTTCCTAGATCTGGAACCAATATTTCCCAAAGACCTATAATCTCTCAGAAGTGGCAAAAGATTAACATTTATTATTGGTTTTTGACTGAAACGCATCTATATGAGATACAGACATTTGACTATATTCTTCAACGAAATCAGCGTTAACGAAATAGTCAGAAGTGCGTCTTTCCTGTATTTGTGAATTCTCCAAAGAGTCTCTGGAATGGACATTTTCGTATTTTGTCTACAAAAGTTGGCAAACTATTTCACACATTGAATATTTTTGGATGGCCACCCGAAACTGCTTGGCTTTTGCAATGTGCGGTAACCCCCATTCAAATGTGCGTGAGGATCGGGCGATAATTACGACGTGCCGACAATTTTGCAGTTTTTTGGTCCATTTCAACCCCTAAATATATGGCGATCATCTCCAAAAAGAGTAGGCTCCTATTCTGACCCTCATCTTATCCCCATGCAAAATTTCGTAAGGATCGGGCCATAAATGCGATCTGTATATGATATCCTGATATCCCAACTACTTAGTTTTGTTAGCTGTAGGAATATTACCAAATGTTTAATTCAAAATGAAAATATACCAAAAATATGACAAAATTGAAAAAATATGAGAAAATTTTACAAAATCAATATTTTCATCTTTAGAGAGATATTTTTATGCGATTTTTTTAGACGCTTTTTCTTTCCTGCCAAGAGGCCATTCTGAATTAATGAGAACTGTCGAAATCAGTTCAGCCGTTCTCGACATATAAGAGATCTTTCAAGCATATCTTCTTTGATAGACATATATATCGCACATATTTTGCTATATATCCGATTTGTTGGATGTTAACATCAATGTAAAGATCAGAAGTAACCTTGTCACGGCTTTATGATTTCGCCGGGATTTAAAATATTCGCGGTTTGATGAAAAATTTTGAATTTTTTCAATACAAAAGATATGGTTTATTTTACCCGCTAAATATTATCCGATGACCACCCAAATTGGTAGGCTTCTTCCCCGCCCTAAACTCTAGCTACATGCGAAATTCCGCGTCGATTGGTCTATAATTGCGACCTGTATAGCTACTGCAAAATCCGAAATTTTTTCATTATTTGGTCCATTTCAACCCCTAAACATTTGGCGATCATCTCCAAAAGAAATAGGGTTCTATTCTGACCCTAGCCCCACCTCCATTCTAAATTTCGTGAAGATCGGACCATAATTGCGACCTGTAGAGTGATTACAAATTAACATGGACAGACGGACAGACGGACAGACGGACGGACGGACATACATAGCTAGATCGACTCAGCTCGGCGAGCTAGGAAGATCCATATATACTTTCCTATATGGGAAATCAATATTTCGAGGTGTTACATAAATTCTGGCCCAATCAAACTTATAATACCCCCAACACATAGTGTTGTAGGGTATAAATACAAATAAAAAATGTGTGGAATCGGCCTGGACTGATCATTTTATACCCTTCACCATGTGAAAACTTGATTGATGACCAAAAAGAAGTTGAACACTCAGAACCCTCAAATTACAGTTGATTAACCTTTCCCCCAAATCAGGATGTACCATTCTTTCGGGACTATGATTACTATCTACTGAGAAGCCGATACATTAAACTACATTTGAATTGATTGAATACTGCGATCAAAACCTGTAAAATATCGAAAAACAGAAGGGGTTTCGTCAAAAATTGGATGTACATTGCAGTTTTTGCGCAAGTAAGCTACTTGAAGGGGAAATATTACTACCTAAGAGAAGCCCGGCCCCACCTACCTATGTCGGTGATACATAACAGTAAATTTTCTGGCTTTTAAGGATATATATATTTTTCAAGTTTTCCCTTTAAAAATCTTCAAAATCTTTTATCGAAGATAATATTAGTAAAGCCATTGCTCAATGGACCCGAATCCAATTTTTCTATCCAAAACTATTTCAACGTCTTTGTATGTGAACCCTTGAGAACAACAGATACCCCGATACCAAATTTCGGAATTCCAGCTCTATCCTAAGACCGAATTCCAATTGTGATACCTAAATTTTTTTACAGTTGGTCGAGGTCACTGTTGGTGTAGTGAATGTTTTCATGAGTAGTATCATGTTCAAAACCACCTCTTTATCTCCATCCTAGACACCAACAGTGACCTCGACCAAATTTCAAAATGTCAAATGCCACAAAATGTACCATTTCGTATATTTGTAATAAGCATCTCCAAGACCTCCACCTTCTCTCAACTACAGACACCAACGGTGAAATCTATTTGGGAATTTAGCTCTATCCGCGTTTAGATCTTCTCGTACAGTTAAAGTCTGTGTTTTCAAAACAATCTCCATATCTCAACCTCAGAAACCAACAGTGACCTTAATATCAAATATCTGAATTTAAGCTCTGTAATTTACACCCATTGCCAAAATTAGTACTATTAAGTACAATTATAGTACGCAGCCCCAAAATTAGTCCTTCTCTTAACTACAGACACCAAGAAAGACATCAATATCAAACTTCAGGATTTTAGCTATATTCCTTCAGCCAATACCAAATATAGCACTATTTAGTACTTTTTGAATAACTATACCACATATTTTCCAAACCACCTTTATATCACAGACATCAAAAGTGATATCTAGAGTGAGATAAAAAAACTGCAACAGAGTCAAATGCCATAATTTTTACATTTTATTTAAATTTTATTGAACGAATAGAAAAATATGTCGGAAATAGTATCAAATTTTAGAATAAGTTTAGATTTATTCGAATTGGTCTCCTTTGGCACGAATTATGGCTGCCCAAATGTTGCTCTGCGGTATTTTGGCCCATTTTCGGCGAACCGCTTGCTTGAGGTGACCGACACTTTGGTATTTTTTAGTGCCAACCTTACTTTCCAAAATACTCCAGACACAATAGTCCAACGGATTGGTATCCGGAGATTTTGGTGGTCATTGTGCGCTGGAAATGAAGCAAGGACCCTCATTTTGTAACCATTACGTACTGAGTGCGATGGTGTTGAGTTCTGTTGGAATGTCCAAGGTCTGTGGCCAAAATGTTTGCGTGCCCAAGGCATTTGTTCTGATGCCACGGTCGGCGCACATTTTCAGCTGACCTCTTTGGCAAGTAAACGCGATCATTTTGTTTGTTTATAAACTGGTGGACAACGAATGTTTTTTCATCGGAGAAAATCAAATTCGGCAGTTCACCACATTCGGCCAAGCGAAGCAACTCTTTAGCTCTTTTGAGTCTATTTTCTTTCTGCTGCGGTGTAAGTTCTTTAACTTTTTGGAATTTCAATGGCTTTAGCCCGCACTCATTTTTCAATATTTGCCGCATGGAATATTGCGATATGTTCAGTTCACGAGCCCTTTTTCGGCCAACTTCGACGCGGGTCTCAATCAAGTCACTTATTTACTTTTCGAACCTTTTCTGCTGATGTTGCTGTTTTCTTCCGTCCACTTCTTTGACGTCGGGCTACGCTACCAGTATCACGGTAACGAGCGATGGTACGAGACACAAAAGATTTATTCACATTTAAATGCTGGAGTGCTCTAACGATAGCCACTTGTGGTTTTCCAGACAAATATAAAAAAATCTCACTATCACGCTTGAATTCCATCGCGAATAACTTTTTTTCTGGAAAATTCTCACCAAAATGCTTTAGTACGATTGTAAACAATATAATGAGTTGTCATTGGAATAATTTTAACTAGTGACCTAGAAATGACAGCAGTCTGAAGTTGGTTGCAGTTTTTTCATCTCACACTGTATAAATATATTGTAGCACCCACATAACGCTACCCCAAGATATTCGGTATTTCCAGGATTTAGGCGACATTATTCACTGGAATTGCGTCGAATTTCGTATTTGAAGTTCGTTATGGGTACTACCACATCTTAATATAACTACCATACAACGGTACCTTCCTATATTCGGAATTTTGATGATATTAGCGATATTTTTCACCGGAATTGTTTCGAATTTTATATATAGAAGTTCGGAATCGTTACTACAGAATATGACAAAAAATTACTTATCCAGCAACATGTCTTCGTATAGCCCCCATACAAAGTTTTTCATTTGAGCAGCATTTTTGACGAATTTTTTTTATGTTTATAAATAGTATAAATATTTTAAATGTGAAAAAATCACTTTAAATATAACTTTAACACGAAGTGAAAACAGTAAAGCCCTGACATCGACGAAATTTCTTAACATATCTTGACCACATAAATTGCAGCTCCTCCATTTTAATCAATTTTGTTTTTATACGCTCCACCATTGTATGGGGGGTATATTAACTTTGTCATTCCATTTGCAACTCCTCGAAACACTCATGTAAAATTCTAAGTCGATTTAGAAATGTTCGCCAGTCTGTCTGTTCGTCTGTCTGTTGTAATCACGTTATGTTTCGAACGAATTGAGATAGGAGGCTATAATTTTGCACAGGGGTGTGTGTTTGCCAGGCAGGTGAAGTTCGTAAATGGGGCATATCGGTTCACGTTTTCGTATAGCCCCCATACAACGGTACCTCCTGATATTCGGTATTTTGACTACTTTAGCAACATCAATCACCCGAATTGTTTTAAATTTCATATTCGAAGTTTGTAATGGGTACTACAGCCTATGCCTAAAAATTATATGTCTACGTCTACGTATAGCCTCCATATAACGGCACATCCCTATATTGGGTATTTTGATGTTTTTGCGACATTATCCACAGATTATGTTTCAAATGATAAAAATTTACTTATGCAGGTCCAGGTCTTCATATAGCCGCCGTATAAAGGTCACCATTTAAATGGTATTTTTTGTAATTCGTTAAAATTTTTGAAGTTCCAAACGTCCAAATGGTGGAGGGTATTCGGCCGGGCCGAACTTAGCTGGTTTTTTAATTGTTTATTTATTTATTTGCACAAAAGAAAATCTTTATTAGCGACATCTACATCAAACTTAGCTACTGTTATTCAGTAATGTGTTAAAGCTCGTTTAACAAAATTTTAATTGTATTATTTCCTCCATGTACTTTGATCGATCGATATAGATAAATATGATTTTTAAAATTTATTATATGCAAAATTATTTTCAAATTTTATTTGTTATTAAAAAAATTGGAAACAATTTTCAATATTTCTCTATTACAACTTCGGCCATTGCACGCACACCAATCCAAGTTTCCTCTAGGATTTGTTCAATTTGTCTTACGGGTGGATCAAATCCCAAGAAGCCACCAGCAGACATTTCAATGCATATGGCAATGGGTATCTTTACTTCGCCCACAGCATAATCGGCGGAATCACCCGATGTGGGATACATAACTTGATAAGTATTGCCATAGGTGTAACTGCTACCGGTGGCCCTGACAATGGCCATGGCAGCAGCATCGGCAACATCCATCATATCGAAATAGTTGTCGGGTAATTCACTAAATTGAAATTTTCATTTTCATAAAAAATAAATTCTACAAAGGCAGGTTGCAGGTACTTACTTTGTGTGACCCCAAGGCAGTAGAAAATAATTGCCATAGGAGTGAAGGGTCAAATACCACATCATACGTCCCCGATAGGTATGCAAAATATCCCTGACCACCTGAGTTTCGGGTTCGGAAAATGCCTTATCACCATGATAGGTTTCATCACAGGGATCGGGAGAAGCTCCCTCCTCCCATCCCCAATGATGGTCAAAATTACGATTTGGATCTGTGCCATAACACTCCTCTTCACCCACTCCCACGTTGTTGGGACGCCGTGTCTTACGCCAATAACGAGACACTTCATGACTGTATTCATAGCCATCGGCATTGACCACGGGTAGTATCACCCAATCGTATTCTTCCAACAGGTCTTTGTTATTTTCATAATTCTCCAACAGTTCACGCATAATGTGTAGGGTCATGGCGGGGGTTATCCATTCACGGGCATGCATGGCGGCATCAACAAAGATGACCTTCTTATCGTGGCGTTTATCACCATTTGTAATGGTAATGACCTTCAGGGGACGTCTCTCATATGACCAACCAAAAGTTTTCACATACACCCTTGTGGGATAGAGCTGAGCCAATACCTCCAAATGGGTATTGATTTCATCATGACGATAATAACGTTCGAAAGCATTCAAAGGATACTCGGGCGGGGTGTTGCGTAAATTTTCCTGGCGTTCCTTGAGTATCACCTCGGAAATGTCATCGTGCAGCAAAGTGAAATTCAATTGGAGGCGTTCTAAGGATTCCCTCAGCTCGTCATTCAATTGAGGTGGAATTAATACCTTGGAAATATCCTCCGGACGTCGGGCCACATTTAGGAAGTCATATTTTCGATTCGCCTTACTCAGCTCGTACAGGCTGCGCAATTGATGTTCATCTTGGGCATAAACATTGTAAATTTTATAACTTAAATGGAAAATTTAAAAAAATGTTAATCTTATTTTGTTTTTCTCTTTCCGTTTTGTTCAGCTTACTTCTTATAGAGTTCAAAGGACCGCACAAAGGTCACACCTATCAAAACAAGTCCAAATAGAATTTGAAAATTATTTCTCCACCACATCGTCGTGTCCAAGTTGTTGTCAAAACTAATTTCTCAAGTCGTAATTTTGGTAGCAAACAGCTACCTTATTTTGGGGCGGCTAAATCGATTTATCATTTTATGATGACCATAATTGTTGCGATATTCAGCCATAGATATACTTTATGATATAAGTTGCCCATATCATGATGGTTATTTGTTTTCAAATTTTGAAAGTACCGACGAACGCGGTAATGATAAAATGTAGTGAACTTTTAGGCATCTGTTTTTTTTTTTGAGTTGTTAGAGAGAGAGCAATTTAAAAAGCATTAAATTCGGTTGAAAAGAAAACAATTCAAAATAAAACCAGTAAAGAAAGTCCTAAAGTCGGGCGGGCCGACTTTTTGATACCCTACACCACTTTCCTAATTTAGTAGAGCTCCGCATAACAATTAAAAGTTTTTATGGGAGAATTAAATCATACACGCTATGTTTATAATTATAATTTAAAGTTCAAAGGACTAAATATGCCGTATCTTTTAAATTCGGACTTGTATTGCCCATTGGGTGCAAAATTAATTTGAAATCCGATAAAGATATATATGGAAGCTGTATCCAAATCTGAACCGATCTCGATCAAATTTGGCAAATATCTTTCTGATCTGTATTTGATATATTTCCTGAATATCGTTATTACGGAGTGCATATTACGGCTGTGGGTAACAAATACAACAAATCGGATGACCAATATATATGGTAGCTATAGCTATATCTGAACCGATTTTCACCAAATTTGGCATACTAGCTCCTAGACCAAATTCCATCCCATTCCAAAGTGTTTACAATTGTTTAAAATTTGTTATTGGGTGAACTGATAGTGCTTTAAATCTGAAATTTGGTATTAGGGTGGCTGTTCATGTGTATCCTGGACATATGGCTGTGGTTTCTTAAATGTGTACTATAATTGTATTTGGTACTGGGTGAAGGAATAGAGATAAAATTCTGAAATTTGATATTTACATTACTGATTTTGAAATTAGACGGTGGTTTAGAAATGCGTCCAACATTTGTTCGAAAAGTACTTAATGGTACTGAATTCGGTATTTGGTGAAGGGATTGGGGTGAAATCCTCCACCAAGTTTGAGGATTCCGTCACCCAATAGCAAATTAAGTACAAATGAGTATAACTATAGTACGCATTTACAAAAGCAGTTCATTCTCTCACCCACAGACACCAACAGCGACATTCATATCAAATTTCACGATTCCAGCTGTATTCCTTTACCAAATACTAAATTTGGTACCATATAGTACTTTTTGTACAATTATAGTACACATTTTCAAAACCACCTCCATACAGTTTGAGATAAAAAAATCTGCAACAAAGTCAAACGTCATAATTTTTACATTTTTTTTAAATTTTATTAAATGAAAGCAAAAAATGTCGGAAATAGTATCAAATTTTAGAATAAGTTTAGATTTGTTCGAAATGGTCACCTTTGGCACTAATTATGACCTTCAAACTGACAATGAAACCGTCACATGCTGCCCGAATGTTGCTCTGCGGTATTTTGGACCATTCCCGGCGAATCGCTTGCTTCAGGTGATTGACACTTTGGTATTTTTTAGTGCCAACCTTGCAGAATAGTCCAACGGATTGTTATCGGGGGATATTGGTGGCCATTGTGCGCTGGAAATGAAGCCAAGACCTTCATTTGGTAACCATTATTGTGCGATGGTGCTGAGTTCTGTTGGAATGTCCAAAATGTTTGGGTGCCCAAGGCTTTAAAACATCCTCTAGAATACTTTCGCGATAATATTCGGCATTTATTCCGATGCCACGGTCGATTAATAAGAGCGAAGAGTGACCATCGGCTGTTATGGAGGTCCACACCATCAACTTGGCCGGCGCTTGAGTTCTGGTGGCCAACCGAAGGCTCTCATTTTCAACTGACCTCTTTGGCAAGTAAACACGATGATTTTGTTTTTTAACAAACTGCTAGACAACGAATGTTTTCTCATCGGAGCGGAGAAAATCAAATTCGGCAGTTCACAACTTTCGGCCAAGCGAAGCAACTCTTTAGCTCTTTTAAGTCTATTATCTTTCTGTTGCGGTGTAAGTTCTTGCACTTTTTGGAGTTTCAATGACTTTACCCCGAGCTCATTTTTCAATATTTGCCGAATGTAATATTGCGATATTTTCAGATCACGAGCCATTTTTCGGTTACTGCGATGCGGGTTTCGATCAAGTCGCTTCTTTACTTTTCGAACCATTTCTGCTGATGTTGCTGTTTTCTTCCGTCCACTTCCTTAACGTCGGGCTACGCTACCAGTATCGCGGTAACGAGCGATGGCACGAGATACAAAAGATTTATTCACATTTAAATGCTGGAGTGCTCTAACGACAGGCACTTGTTGTCCAAATATGAAGAAATCACACTATCCCGCTTGAATTCCATCACGTATAACTTTTTTTCTGGAATATTCTCCTCAAAATACTTTTGAACGCTTGTAAACGATATAATGAGCTGTCACTTTAATAATTTTAACAGCTGTCGGACGAGTGGCTTAGAAATGACAGCAGTCTGAAGTTGGTTACAGTTTTTTCATCTCACCCTGTATAAATATATAAAAGAGTAGTGATATAACTGACTGACTGACTGATGTGTAATCAACGCTAAGACAAAATTGCTAGAATCTTGAAATTTTGCAGGTCTTGAAATTTTGCGGTCTTGGTTGCCAAAGAGGTCAGTTGAAAATGTACACCTTCGGTGATGGTCTGAGCCGCCATAACAGCCGATGGTCACTCTCCGCTCGTATTAATCGAGCGTGGCATCAGAATAAATGCCGAATATTACCGTGAAAATATTCTGGAGGGTGTATGAAAGCCTTGGGCATGCAAACATTTTGGCGGCAGACCTTGGACATTCCTACAGGACTTAGCACGCGCCACCCAAGAATAGTTACAAAATGAGGTTCCTCTCTTCATTTCCAGCGCACAATGGCCACCAAAATCTCCGAATACCAATCCATTGTACTATTGTGTTTGGAGTATTTCGGAAAGCATGGGTGGCACTAAAAAATACCAAAGTGTCGATCACCTCAAGCAAGCGCTTCGCCGGGAATGGGCAAAAATACCGCAGAGCAACATTTGGGCAGCATGTGCCAAGGTTGACCAATTCGAACAAATCTAAACTTATTCTAAAATTTAATAAAATTTAAAAAAGGAAGAGTTATGGCGTTTGATTTTGTTGCAGTTTTTTATTTCACCTTCATATATCAAGTTTTTTGCTCCATTCACAAAATACCAAGTGGTACCACTTCCGAAGATTAGTAGCATTTTAGAACGTAATCTTTAAGTTCGAAATTCCAAAAAACCTTTATACATCTGTCCTGCATTCAAGTTTTCCAAATTTCAGAATTTTAGCTTATTCTGTGTGTCCATACAAAGTAATTAATTTTTAGTAAATTTTAGTACTCTTCGTACCCTTTTAGAACGAATTTCCCAAAAAACCAAACTTTAACACATGCCTACTCGACCATCGTGCAACACTTCAAGATTCCAGCCATTTCGCCTGGGCGATAATTTTAGATCAGCATCTTATTTCACTGCTCTTTTATAGATTTTACTTTCATGTTACTTTCATTATTATACCCTCCTCGTTGGTAAGAATTTAATTTAAATTTGTAACGTTTTCCATTGTCAGTGCCTTTTAAGTCAAGGGATTTCCCGAATATTGGTATACGACGGGATGTCTTGTTTGGATGTTGAGATATTCCGCGACTAATAAATTTCTCAAATATAATTTTTAAATGAAAGTTCGATTTTTGAGTTAAATTACGATTAGATTTGATTATTTCTAAGCGATGATTTACGACGTATTAGACATTAATTTACGATTAGATAAGCGAATTGGCATGAGAGTTACTGGTAGGCGACATGCTTAGACTTGCGATGGGGTTGAAGGTAGTTGTGAAGTGTGTTCCGCGGTTAACGGATCACCACTGAAGATGTTGCGTTGCGGAGTATTAGTTTTGGCTTTGGGAGCCATTGTGGCTCTGAGCAGTGCCAGTAGCATTGCTTATGACGGGTAAGTATGGAAAAAGGTGAGAAATTTAATGGAAATGAAAATTGGATTTCGTTTTTGGATTTCAGTTACAAAATATTTGAGGTTGTACCCCAAACTAAGGAGCAAATTGACTTTTTGTTTGATTTGTCCAAATATGAAGACCTCTATGATTTCTTTGCCCTAAAGAAAATCCCCAATCATGTGGCCCGTGTCATGGTTAATCCCAATGAAGAGGAGAATTTCTTGACGGCTTTGGCCTCTTTGGACCTGTCACCCCGTGTGATCAACGAAAATGTTGGCAAGACCATTGAAAGGGAATTCCAGTTGACCAAGTTGAAGCGCAGTCTTTCACCATTCACCGGCAAGGGTCGCTTGAGCACTGAACGTTATTATTCTCATGGTGAAATCAATGCCTACATTGAGGATTTGGCTGAACGTTATCCCGCTCGTGTTGCTGTCCAACAAGTCGGCAAGTCGTACGAAGGTCGTGACATTAAAACCATTACCATTTCAAATGGTGATGGTCGTAAAAACAAGAATGTCATCTTCATGGATGGTGGTTTCCATGCCCGTGAATGGATCTCGCCCGCTGCCGTTTTGTATGTCATCGACCAATTGGTGGAGAACTTCGAGGAAAACTCTGCTCTTCTTGCTGACTACGATTGGGTTATTTTGCCCGTTGTCAATCCTGATGGTTATGAACACACCCAGACCGGAACATTGGCCCGTATGTGGCGTAAGACCCGCAAGCCATATACCTATTTGGGTAAGACTTGTTATGGTGCTGATCCCAATCGCAACTTCGATTTCCACTGGAATGAGGAAGGTGCATCCAACAATCCCTGTGTCGATACCTATGCCGGACCCAAGGCTTTCTCTGAAAATGAGACAATGATTGTGCGTGATCTTTTGCATTTCTTGAAGGGACGTGGTGTTATGTATCTGACCATTCACTCTTATGGCAATTATTTATTGTATCCTTGGGGCTGGACTGCGTGAGTTTCTTTAATTTTTCTTTTTAATAAATTGAAATTATATGTAAATGTTTTTTTTTTTGCATTTAGTGACTTACCCGAAACCTGGCCCGATTTGGATGAAGTTGCCCGTGCTGGTGGCGATGCCATCTATGAGGCCACCGGCACTGTCTACAGCGTGGGCTCATCCACCAATGTCTTGTACATTGCTGCCGGTGCCAGTGATGATTATGCCTTCTATGCCGGCTTCCCCATTTCCATTACCATGGAATTGCCTGGAGGTGGCTTGACCGGTTTCGATCCTCCAGCATCGAAAATTGATCAATTCGTCACCGAAACCTGGATTGGTATTCGCGCTATGGCCCACAAAGTTGTTGAGAAATATCCCACCGAAAGACCAGAATTTTTGTAAAAACAAAAAACATTTGCAACAAATTAAATGTTTTAATTAAATTCCAATAACAAAAAAAAACATAATTTTTAATTAATAACTTTTATCTATCAACCAAGTGAAGAGATAGAGAGGTTTTGATGACTGGGTGAAAGAACATTGTCTGATAAAGTATTTCGTAAACAACCTTTGTGGTTGGGGGTATTGGGTGATAGGAATTGGACGAACTGTATGAAAGAGGCATTAATAAATTAAAGGAAGGGACTCTTAGGGTGTCAGCAAGTTTTCAGGAGGTGAAATTTCTAGAATTTATGGGAAGACAATTTATCAAATTTTTCTTTTTGCTTTCAAAATATATTTAGATTTTAATTTTCACGATCAGGTGAAAAACTAAAGCTAGAATATACAAATTTCGATGAGAGTTACTGGATGAGGGTTATGGTGTAGAAGATCTTAAATTTAAAATTTAAAATTAAACAGGTAGGAATGTTAATTATCGCAATAGTTGTCTAATATTACAGAAATGGCGAGAGAGGGAACTGCATGAACAAAATTAGCGAAACAAGTGTTAATAGAGGCCTAATGAAACTAAAAACGAACTGTGGCTATGTCAAAATCAAATTTGGAAGATTTAGCTCTTGAAATGTGTTATAGAGCACTGCCCAGATGTTACCCTTTGCTTTTTGATCGGGGCACAGAAAGTTATGGTTGCGGCTATATATAATCCAGTAATGGCCATCCAAAATGCTAGACTCCTTCCCTGTCCTTAACTCCCAGAAAAATTTTAATTTGTTTGATCCATTTAGTCCCTGAATGTACATCTTCCAGCGGTTCTTGACTTATAAGCAGAATTATTAAGATACATTGTTTGTATACCCTCCACCATACATAGTACGGAGGGTATATTAACTTCGTCATTCCGTTTGTAACTCACCGAAATAATAATTTTAGACCCAACAAAGTATATATATTCTTGATCAGCGTAAAATTCTAAGACTATATAGCCCTCTTCATCTGTCCGACTGTTGTAAACACGCTACAGTCTAAACGAATTAAGATAAAAAGCTAAAATTTTGCATAGATCTATCTTTTGTCTGCAGGCAGGTCAAGTTCGAAGATAGGCTATATCGGTCCACGATATCGTATAGCCCCCATATAACGGTACCCCCGATATTCGGTATTTTGATGATTTTAGCAACATTTTTCAACGGAATTGTCTGATGTATCGGCACCTTCCGATATTAGGTATTTTAAAGATTTTAACAGAATTTTTAATGGATTTTTTTTCGTTATTTTCTAAATCGTTACAAATGGTGGAGAGTATTCAAAATTCGGCCCGGCCGAACTTACTGCTTTTTTACTGCCTATAGTGTGATTACAAATTAACATGCACAGACGGACGTATATACATAGATAGATGGACTCAGTTCGGCAAGATAGGAAGATCCATATATAGTTTCCTATGTCGGGGACCAATATTTCGAGGTGTTACATAATTTTTGGCCCAACCAAACTTATAAAACCCCCAACACATATGCTCTGTTGCAGAACCTGTAAGCATCTACTAGTTTTGCAATGTTTTTCTATATTTTTATATTTTTATTATTTTATATTTTTGCAGTTCTGGAACAGAGAATAGTGTTGTAGGGTATAAAAATCAATTGAAATCGTAAAAATGGGTATTTCATATTTTTAGTGGACCAATTCTGAAGGTTTCTCGTAGGACGGACAACGTCCAACTACGAGTGACCAAAGGGGTATTTTTGGTCCTTATTGAAAAATATGGTTGTAAACTCCATTTAATCGGAATCGTTGAAAGTCAAAATATTCTACAAAATTATTCGTCATTAATTTCTACTATTGATCCCAGAATAAAAGAAACGCCAGGAATTCAAAAATATTACAAAACACACTTGAGGGTATGGGGACTATAAACAGCGTGAACCTATACAGACAGCTCCGTCACAGAAGTTAGAACCGTTTACATCTGTGAATACCGAGTTTTGTACAATTTTATTAGAAAATACGATTTAAACCTTCAAAATACCAAATATCGGGAGGAATTGTTTTATGCAGCCCATACAGAAACGTGGACCGATATGGCTAATTCACGAACCTAACCTGCCTACTGATAACATATACATCTGCGCAAATGATTAGTATTTTATGTCAATTTGTTTGAAAGATAGGGAGCCTAGAACAGACAGATGGAGAGGGCGTCAATAAATTGACTTAGAATTTTACGCTGATTAAGAATTCCTAGACATTGTAGGGTCTAACATAAGTATTTCATGCAGTTACAAACGGAATAAAAATTTTAATATACCCAACATAGTATGGTGGAGGGTATAAACATATGTATATCATATGTTCAGCTTTTTTATTTCATTTAAAATTTCAAAAATCCGATATAGTTCTCATATTGCGGTGCCACTCAAAATTTGGTATTTTGAGGATTCACCAGACCGATCTATGAATGTTTGACTTGACAAATCCTAACAACGACATCTATTATTATGTAGTGACATTTATTCTGTTCTTTATCTCAAATAGAGTAATGCTTTTCTAGACATCCCAACACACAAAAAAAGAAGGAGTTACAATCTATCTATGAATATAAAAGAGTAGTAAAATAACTGACTGAGAATCAACGATCAGACGAAACGGCTGAAACTAGAAATTTTGCACGAGGGTCAGTCTTGGTGCGTAGGCGTGTGATAAGGCTGGGTGTTCGGAAATTCGTACTAAAAGGGTACGAAATGTACTAAAAAGTAATACAGAAATACAGGGAATACAGAATGCGCTAAAATTTGAAACAAAAGTCACTGATGGAGTGCAAGATAGATTTAACAACGAATTATTGCAAACCTCAAGTTTAAGGTTACAAATAGTTCTTAAATGGTACTAAACTTCTGAAAGGGTACCATTTGGAATTATGTGAACGGATAGAACTAAAAACTTCTAATTTGATGTGAGAATCAAGGTTGGAATAAAGTTTAATATTTGAAGGTTATTTTGGAAATTCATACTAAATGTTCGAACTGTACAAAATGGTACTAAATGTGAAACAATTTGATATAGGGCGGACGGATGAAAAGAGAGTTTTGAAATTTTGTATTGGGGTCTCTGTAGATAGTAGGTTTGTGATAAAGAGCTGGTTTTGGAAATGTGTACTACAAGTGCACGAATAGTACTAAATAGAACTTTACTTTGTACAATTAGGCATTGGGTGAAGAGATAGTGCTTGAAATCTGAAATTTGGTATAAGGGTCGCTGTTCTTATGTAGCCTGAACATATGGAGATGGATTTGAAAATGTGTTCTATAATTGTACGAAAAGTACTGAATGGTATTGAATTTGGAACATTTTGGTTTAGGGTGAATGAACGAAGGTGGAATTTTGACATTTTGCACGAAAAGTACTAAATAGTGATATATTTTGTACAGTTTGGTATTGGATGAACAGATGGTACTTGATATCTGAAATTTAGTTCATGTCTAGACTGGATAGATGGATGAGGTTTCGGAAATGCATCTTATATTTGTACGAAATGTAGTAAATGGTACTAAATTTGGTATTGAAGTCTCTGATGGTATCTGGAATTGGGATAAGGGCGTGATTTTGGAATTGTGTAAAGTAATCGTTCGAAAAATTCTTACTGTTACTAAATTTGTTATTGGGTGAAGGATCTAGGCTGAAATTCTGCGATTTGCTATTGAGGTCACAAATTTGAGTCTGTTCGAAAAGTACTAAGTGGTACTAAATTGGATATTAAGAGAAGGGATAGAGCTGGAATCCCGAAATTGGATATTGAGATCTCTGTTGTTATCTTTGGTTGAGATCTCTTCAATGTTTTTGAAAATGCTTACTATAATTATTTGAAAAATACCGAATGATGCTGTATTCACTTTGGGGTCAAGGAATAGAGGTACAATTTTGAAATTTGTCATTTAGATTACTGATGGTATCTGTGTTGGAGATTTGGAGTTGGTGTGGAAATGCATCCTTTATTTGTGTGAGAATTACTGAATGGTATTAAATTAGTTATTGGGTCAGGGAATAGGGCTGGAATTCTCAGATATGAAGGGGTCTCTTGGTATGTGAAATTGAGATATGGAGCTGATGTTGGATATGTTTTCTATAATTGTGCGAAAAGGTACTATATTTAGTATTGAGTGAAGGGATAGAGCTGAAATCCTGAAATTTGATATGGATGTCACGAAGACGCGTTCCTTCATAAGTGTCTTTTTGTCATAGGCTGTAGTACCTATAACGAACTTCAATTACGAAAAATACCTCTAAAATCATCAAAATACCGAATATAGGGTGGTGTAGATATATGAGGACTATACGAAAATATGGATCTGCATACGCAATTTTTTGTTATGTATACTCATTACAAACTTTAAATAAAAAATTGGAAAATTCCGATAAAAATGTTATATTCAAAGTTTTGCCGCCGGAGATAGAACCCATTATAAGCTACAAATACCAAGTTTAATACAAATTCGATAAAAAATGTCCCCAAATTCATCAAATTACCCAATATTGGTAAGTACCGTTATATGGGGGCTATACGAAGACGTGGACCTGCATAGACACTTTTTTGTCATTGAAATGTTTCCTGTAAAGAATATCGCCAAAATCATTAAAATACCGAATATTGAGAGGTACCGTTGTGAGGGGGCTATATGAAAACGTGGACCTACATGGGACATTTACGAACTTAACCTGCCTTCTGGCAAAATACTCATTTGTAGTATTCATTTTAGCCTTCTACCTCAATTCGTTCGAAAGATTTCGTGATTAAAACAGACAGACGGACGAACAAAGTTAAATCGACTTAGAGTTTTACGCTAATCAAGAATATATATACTTTGTTGGGTCTGACGTCAGTATTTCGAGGAGTTATAAACGGAATGACAAAATAAATATGCCATCCATAGTATGGTGGAGCGTATAATAATGGTCTTTTTTCAATTTTGGCCTCGAAGTTGAAGTTTTATTAATTCTATGTGTTCACTAGTTTTGTTCTGTCTAACAATAGCTATAGAAAAAATCAAAATTCTGAACGGTTTACGAGGTATGATCCACCCAAATTTTAAGTAAAGGCCTCAAATGTTTGGGTTACCCTAACAGTAAAAGTTGATGAAATTGAGTAAAACGAATAAACACTCGACTTTTTTCCACGTTCTTTAAGGATGCGGTTTCTGAATAATAATGCAATGTTGCAGACTTCAGGTTATATAGCCCATAGAATAATAATTTTAATATAGAATATAAAAACATATATATAAAATATAATATTTAATATAAAACATTAAACAAAAGGTAACTCCATTTAACAAGGTCATTCACTTACTGAAAACTGGTATCAGTTTTGTGACAACCTTTTCGACCAAGTCTCCCTATCTAGTGGCCTGCAAATCAAATTAATCTCTTGATATTTCAAATAGATAGAGACATTTTTAGATCGTCATAATTTCGTGAGATAAGTGTTGGGAAATGTTCTAAAACCACTCAAAATATCATAAATTGTGTTCTCAAATTGTTGCTGTAAAATTCGTGGCAGTCTATGGCCGATGGGTAATCTAGCGTTAATTGATTAATCTAGCAATATTGATAAACTTATTTACAAAAGAGGCATCAGGAACGTCACTAGTATATTTGACGATTTAAAAAGATTGTATAATAGGGTTGAGTGAAAAAATATTTCTCATTCGTTTGCATTAATACAAAGCCAAAAATGTCACTTCAACCATTGTACCGGACATTTGATCCTTATCGGCAAATAATTGTTTCGAATTGGCTTTTCTTTAATTGTTGTGATTGCCGTTATTAATCGAGAATGTTGAGCGATAAGATTATGTTAAATGTGGGTTATATCAGACGCCCATTAGAATGAAATTAATAACTCTTCGATGAATGCGGACAATCGGTTTTGGGCAGTTGAGTTTCGACAGTGTTTAGGAGAAGACCAACAACCAATTAGTGGAACAATGTCTGCCACTCGAGTAGGAGGAGTAGCGGCGATAATCTGCTTCATATTGATAGCTGCCGAAGCAGCTAAATACGATGGGTAAGAGTATTCGAAATGAAGTGTGTGTGTGCGTAGAAGTGGGTATATTACTTCATAGTTAGAAGTGTGTTAAAAATTTCAAGGTGATGCCATTGTACCGAATTTCGGTGGGTATCGTTATATGTTCGCTATAGGAAAACGTTGACCTAATAGAAACCCTTATAAACTATAAATACCAATTTTTAGACAAACCCTTGGAAAAAATCATAAAAATACTGAATATCCAGAGGTACCATTATTTGGGTGCTATAAGAAAACGTGGACTTAAACATACTATGTTCCGCCACAGTGGTTAGAACCCATTACCAACTACAAATACCATTTTTTACACAAATCCGTGGTCAAATGTAAAAAATCATCAACATTCCGAATGTCGGGAAGTACTGTTATATGGGGGGTATACGAAAACGTAGACCTACTTGTACATAGATAGAACCTATAACGAACTACAAGTACATACTTTTTGACAATTTCGTAGAATATTTGTTTATATAGGGGGGTTATCCCAAAACGTGGACCGATATATCTCATTTTCAATACCAACCATCCTAGACACAAAGTAAACAACTAATCCAATTTTTAAAGCTCTACGTCAAATAATGTTGATTTCAACAGGCAGACGGTCAGACAGACAGGCGGACATCGTTAAATCGAATTTTTAATGAGATTTTTTCCGGCTCTTCATAGGTAGTACAAGCTTGTAGAGGTGTTCTAGATATTCGTGCGAATGTCTATCATAAATAGAAGCTCTTTGGAAAATGTAATTTTATTGAATGAAAGCAAAAAATATCGGAAATAGCAGCTAATTTTCGAATAAGTTTAGATATGTTCGAATTGTTCACCTTTGGCACGAATTATGGCCTTCAAACGGCCAATGAAACCTTCACACGCGGCCCGGATGTTTCTTTGCGGTATTTTGGTGCATTCCAGGCGAAGCGCTTGCTTGAGGTGATCGATTGGTATTTTTTAGTGCCAACCTTGCTTTCCAAAATACTCCAGACACAATAGTCCAACGGATTGGTATCCGAAGATTTTGGTGCCATTGTGCGCTGGAAATGAAGCGAGGAACCTCATTTTGTAACCATTCTTAGGTGACGCGTGCTGAGTGCGATGGTGATGAGTCCTGTTGGAATGTCCAAGGTCTGCGGCCAAAATGTTTGCGTGCCCAAGGCTTTAATAAACCCTCCAGAGTATTTTCGCGACAGTATTCGGCATTTATTCTGATGCCACGGTCGATAAATACGAGCGGAGAGCGACCATCGGCTGTTATGGCGGCCCACACCATCGCCATGGCCGGCGCTGGAGTTCTGCTGGCCAACCGAAGGTGCACATTTTCAGCTGACCTCTTTGGCAAGTAAACACGATCGTTTTGTTTGTTTACAAACTGCCGGACAACGATGTTTTCTCATCGGAGAAAAATAAAATCCGGCAGTTTACCACTTTCAGGCAAGTGAAGCAACTCTTTAGCTCTATTGAGTCTATTTTATTTCTGTTGCGGCTTTACCCCGAGCTCATTTTTCAATATTTGCCGAATGGAATATTGCGATATGTTCAGCTCACGAGCCATTTTTTGGCCATGTGGGCTTCGATCAAGTCGATTCTTTACTTTTCGAACCCTTTCCGCTAATGTTGCTGTTTTCTTCCGTCCACTTTCTTTGACTCGGACGAGTGGCTTAGAAATGACAATAGTCTGAAATTCCTTGCAGTTTTTCCATTTCACCCTGTATATGAATATTAGACCTTTCAAGCGGTTTTACTGTCTGACAGAACATATGCCCTTTTTCCCTTTTTTTTTTTTTGGAGGTTTTCTATGGATACAATATGTATAGAAGACGTTATGAAACCTTTTACAATGAGAATGGTGCGTCGTATTTTTGTGAAGGTCTGTAATACGTTTTATACTCCGTCTGTCTTCAAAATATTTTTACAACCATGTTTCAATATAAATTGCATTTGGCACGCTCACAAACACAGTTTCATATCACACCTATAATTTACACTCGCTTATAATGTCCATAAATAGCCCCAACTACATTTCAGATAGTAACTCATAAATAAATCAATTGCTTTACTACCCAAATTTAATCGCTCTCACTTCCCTCGCTTATCTACAGTTACAAACTATACCAGATAACAACACCATGGACGAGGCAACAACATGATCTGCTCGGACAGCTGAACTTGAAGGAGGACGAGGCCTATGAATTTGTGCATCCCAACAAGTTCATTGTGAATCCCGAATATTTGGAAGAGTTCAAGGCTGCTTTGCAACAAAACAATTGGTCGTACGAAGTGAAAAACGAAGATGTCGGCAAGACGTTGCGGGAACATTTTGAACAAAACAAGGCCATGCAAAAACTATTCCCCTATTCGGGTCAAGGACGATTGGGTACCAATCAATACTACAGTCATTCCGTGATCAATGCCTATTTGGAATCATTGGCCGCCGCCTATCCAAATCGTGTGTTTTTGCGTAAAGTGGGTTACTCCTTTGAGGGCCGCGAACTGAAGTCCTTGATCATTACCAATGGTGATGGTCGCAATGATAAGAATGTTATTTTGGTTGATGGTGGTTTCCATGCCCGTGAATGGATCTCTCCCGCTGCGGCAATTTATGCCATTGAACAGTTGGTGGAGAATTTCGAACAAAATCGTGATTTACTTCAAGATTATGATTGGGTCATATTGCCGGTGGTGAATGCTGATGGATATGAATATACCCAGGCAGCAGTCGAAAATAGATCGTGGCGTAAAACACGTAAACCCTTGTTCCATCAGGGTGGCATTTGCTATGGTACCGATCCCAACAGGAATTTCGATTTCCATTGGATGGGAGGTGGTGCCTCGTCGGATCCCTGCTCGAATACATTTGCAGGACCCAAGCCATTCTCGGAACCCGAAGCTATGGTTGTGCGTGATCTAATTCACACCTACAAGGATAAGGGTCAAATGTATTTGACCTTGCATTCTCATGGTAGTCTGTTGCTGTATCCTTGGGGTTGGAGTTCGTAAGTGGAAATAAAATAAAATGTTTTGCATCATTTAACTATTTTAACATTTTTCAGAGACTTACCTGATACCTGGCCAGATTTGCATGAGGTTGCCACAGCCGGAGCTGAGGCCATTAAGGCAGCCACTGGCAATGTCTACACAGTGGGCTCCTCAACGAATGTTCTGTACGTTGCAGCCGGTGCCAGTGACGATTATGCTTTTAATGCCGGCTTCCCCATTTCATTTACGATGGAATTACCCACTGCTGGTGCGTCCGGTTTCGATCCCCCAGTCGAAATGATTGATCCTTTGGTTAAGGAAACTTGGGTTGGAATTCGTGCCATGGCCTTGAAAGTTATCGAGAAATATCCTTTGGTTTAAAAATCAAGAAAATATTAACAATGTTAAAGTATATTTCAGAACCGAAAAGTATTAATTAAAAAAATATTTGTTTCTCTGATGGGGTACTGTGTACTTTTTCGAGAATTCTATAATTACAATTTTTAATATAAAGGGGACTATAGGTAAAATATCCTCCGTGAATAGAAGCCGGTTTACAAGACTTGTCAATTGAGTAGAGGTTTTCCAAGTTTTAAACCTTAAAATCTTTCATGTTGATCAGTGTTAGTGCATAGAGCAAGATAAGGCTAGGTTTGTTGATATTATAACCAACCTTGCACTTTTGAAAATTTTAGAAGCTCTAAAATTTCAACAAAATCCGTAAAAATACAACTTCTAAACAAATGACAGGTCGAATATGTCAATTTTCGTCTCTTATAAACAAATGGGAGACATTGCATTTTAAGGCGTCTCCTATCGATATACCATTTTTTTAGAGAACAAGTAAAAAAACATTAAGTTCGGCCGGGCCAAACTTTTAATACCCTCCAAAGACCAAAGGAGCTAGAACCCATTATGACATACAAATACCAATTTTCAGACAAATCCGTGAAAAAATGTGGCAAAAATCATCAAATTACCGAATATCGGTAGGTACCGCTATATGGGGGCTATACCAAAACGTGGACCCATAATTACAATGACTCGCCACACGAACTGGGACACATTATGGTCTACAACTACCAATTTTTAGACATATCCGTGAAGAAATGTGTCAAAAATCATCAAAATACCTAATATTGGGAGGTACCGTTATATGGGGACTATACCAAAACGTGGACCTATACAAACAATGTTTCGCCACACGAACTAGGACCCATTCTGACCCACACATACCATTTTTAAGACAAATCAGTGAAAAAATGTGGTAAAAACCATCAAAATACCGTATATCGAGAGGTACCGTTATATGGGGGCTGTACCAAATCGTGGACCCTTACATGCAATGTTTCGCCACCGGAGCTGGAACCCATTATGACAAACAAATACCAATTTTTAGACAAATACGTGAAAAAATGTGGCAAAAATAATCAAAATACCAAATATCGCGAGGTACCTTTATATGGGGGCTATACCAAAACGTGGACCTATACATGCAATGTTTTGCCACACGCACAGGGAATCGTTATGACCTACAAATACCAATTTTCAGACAAATCCGTGAAAAAATGTGGCATAAATTATCAAAACGCCAAATATCGAGAGGTACCGTTATATGGGGACTATACCAGAACGTGGACCTATATATCTCATTTTCAATACCAACCATCCTAGACACAATAAAAATTGATTTGCTAAATTTTGGGGCTCTACGTCAAATAATCGACTTAGAATTTTATGCTGATTATGAATATATAGACTTTATGGGGTCTACGACGAATATTTAAGGATGTTACAAACGGAATGACAAAGTTAATATACCCTCTTTTTCAAGGTGGAGGGTATAAAAATTAATTTTTGCTCTTGTGGGCTGTAGCCGTGATGGTCGGAAATACAATCGGAAAGAATACAGCCAACAATTTAATGATTTATAAAAGGTGATGAAATGCGGGTTGTTTATGTAAATTAGTGACCACGCAACGCGGCCAATGAGTACAACCCTGGGTTCACTGTAGGGTTGTATAGGTAAAACAATAAAAGAGACGAACGATTAACAAAATAAAAGTAAAAGTTTTTGAAAATTCCGCTCATATAAAAGGTCCACAAAGATGAAAATGTTTCCTTTCACAAACTGGTGCTGATTTAATTCCTAAAAGGCTGTGCTAAAATGTTGTTGGCAAAATAACATTAAAAGGCAAAAGTTAATTAAAGCACCTAAGTTAGGCAGGGCCAACATTTTAATATCCTCCACCATTTGGAAGGAACTCAAAAAATTTCAAAGTTTGTATGGGGCTATACGTACTTCAAATGCGAAATTTGAAACAATTCGTTTTAAAGGAGGCCGATTATATCATTAAATGATCGAATAACGGTTATACTTGGGCTATACGAAAACGTGGGCCACGATAGACAATTTTCTGTCATAGGTTGGGGTAACCATTCTGGTGAGCAATGTCGCTTATTTCATCAAAATCCCAAATCTTGGGAGGTACCGTTATATGGGGCCTATACGAAGACGATGTAATTTTTATACCCTCCACCATAGTATGGAGGGTATATTAAGTTTGTCATTCCGTTTGTAACACCTCGAAATATACATTTTAGATCCCACAAAGTATATATATTCATGATCAGCATAAAATTCTATGTCGATTTAGCGATGTGCGTCCGTCTGTGGAAATCACTCTAGCTTCCGAACGAATTGAAGCAGATTAATAAAATTATACTCAAAGGTATTGTAGGTCCACGTTTTGGTATAGCCCCCATATAACGATACCTCCCGATATTCGGTATTTTAATGATTTTAGTGACAATATTCATCGGAATTGCTTCAAAGTTGGTATTTGAAGTTCGAAAAGGATAAGACAGAAAATTGTCTGTGCAGGTCCACGTCTTCGTATAGCCCCATATAACGGTACCTCCCGATATTCGATACTTTGTTGATTTAAGCGACATTATTCACCGGAATTCTTTCGAATTTGGCAATTGAAGTTCGTAATGGATACTACAGCCTAAGACAGAATATTGTCTTTGCAGGTCCACGTCTTCGTATAGCCCCCATATAACGGTACCCCCGATATTCGATATTTTGATGATTTTAGCGACAATATTCATCGGAATTGTTTCAAATTTGGTATTTGAAGTTCGAAATGGATGCTACAGTCTAAGACAGAAAATTGTCTGTGCAGGTTCACGTCTTCGTATAACCCCCATATAACGGTACCCCCTGATATTCGGTATTTTGATGATTTTAGCGACAATATTCATCGAAATTGTTTCAAATTTGGTATTTGAAGTTCGAAATGGATACTACAGCCCAAGACAGAAAATTGTCTTTGCAGGTTTACGTCTTCGTATAGCCCCATATAACGGTACCTCCCGATATTCAGTATTTTGATGATTTTAGCTACAGTATTCACTAAATTTTTCACATTTCGCATTTGAATATTTTAATGGCTTATGACAAAAGTTACCTGTGTAGGTCCATGTCTAATATAACAGCTACTTTCGGTATTTTTAAAATTTTAACAGAATTTTAATGGTTTTGAGAATTGCCAAATTCGTTCCAAATGGTGGAGGATATTCAAAGTTTGGCCCGGCTTTTACAGCTTTTTTACTTGTTTGTCATAGGTTGTAGTACCCATAATGATCAAATACGAAATTTGAAACAATTCTGATAAATACTGTAGCTAAAATTATCAAAACACCGAATTACGGTACCGATAATATGAGGACGTTTTCGTGCGTGGACCGACATGGAACCTGCGTTTTGGCATAGTTTTAGCCTTCAATCTCAAATCTTAGAGGAACATTTTAATTTTTTTTTTTTGGAAACCAACAGGTTTCCAATAGGATTCTATAGATATAAAATCTTACAGAGTTGTATATGAATAGAAGTGATATCTATGATGTCTATACTAAAGATCCAAGAGGTTAAGTTACAGACAAAGAAGTCAGAGTTCAGACGCATCACTTTTTAATTCGAATATGCCGTTAAACCGTTAAATTCAAGTACAACACTATTTTGTAGAAATACATACAGGGTGACACCTTCAGTACAGGGCGTTGTGGAAATAGTTGATAATATTTTTATACCTTACAACACTATTTGTTGGGGGTATTATAAGTTTGATTGGGCAAAAATTATGTAACACCTCGAAATATTGATTTCCCATATATATGGATCTTCCTATCTCGTCGAGCTGAGTCGATCTAGCTATGTATGTCCGTCTGTCCATGTTAATTTGTAATCACTCTACAGGTCGCAATTATGGCCTGATCTTCACTAAAACTAAAAAAAATTCCTGATTTTGCAGTTGCTCTGCAGGTCGCAATTATAGACCAATCGATGCGGAAGTTAGCGTGTTGCTAGAGATTAGGGCTGGGGGAACTCTTCCAATTTTGATGGCCATCGCGTAATATTTAGTGGATAAAATAGACTATAAAATTTGTGTTAAAAAAAGTCAAATTTTCCATTAAACCGCGAACATTGATAATCCCGGCGAAATCACAAATATGCGAACAGGTCGATTTTGACCGTTAAATAGTAAATTTATAGCATATATAGTGAATTATATGCAATGTGTATGTACAATGGAAAGGGATGTTAGCTGGAATGCTTATTTCTCAAGAATGGCTGGACCCATTTTGACAAATTTTGTCAACTCAGAATGCCCTCTTGGCATAAAAATATAAAATCTAAAAAGTCGCATTAAAAGATGTCAATAATGATGTTAATATAGATTTTGTGAAAGTTTTTTATTTTCCATAATTTTTATCGCATGAGATTTTTTCAATTTGACTTATAAGATTGAAGTGTATATTTTGTAATATTTTTTCACCTTACAACACAGGTTGGGGTTATTATATACAGAATGCAATTATCGTCCAACAACTAAAAATGTCCCTGACTTTGCAGCAGTTATAAAGGTCACAAATAGAAACCAAAGGACATGAAATCTCGCATGAAGTTAGAGTTTAGGAAAGCGGGTAGAATGGACCACTACTTTTGTGTGAAAAAATACCAGCATTTCACAGCATGATCACACAATTGAAAGCAATCGACACGTCTGAGAAGAGACTTAAGGACAGGGAAGAATTCTAGCATTTTGGATGACCATTGGATATAGGAATAGGTATCATTACTTTGAATATCATAATTTAAAAACTTCAAAAAAAAAACCAATCGCACAAAACAACGGTGGTTCAGAATATTGTCGCCTTTTTCTACAGTATAAGAAGTCTATCAAACTGAGATTGAGTTCGAAAAAATCGGTTCACAAATGACAACAATGAACATGTTTTACTGCATTTTGAATGATGAAGAAACCCCGAGCTCTTTTGCTAGTTGTTCTATAAAAGTTTGTTTCTGCTTGGAGACCAATATTTTACACCAAAAATTTTCGATTATAAGCATAATTCGCCATGACTTCTAAAATCACATTTCACGGTCTTTATCACTTGGACGCATGTTTCTTAGGTGCTAATTTGTGAAGTTTTGCTATCGGCTCCCTTGGCAATGACCCTGATTCACTAGTATTTCCATACATATTTTTATCAATAATTTTCAACAACATTACCTCCAAACTTTAACTATAAACCAACATATGGGTGCTATAAATTCTAAAAACCGTGTTTTTTTTATTAGGAATTAAGTAACAAGCTCGCTCCCACTTCCCCACAAGTGAAATGAATACATTTGCCCCAGAATGACGTTGTCGTACTTCAGCTATTTATTTGTATTTCCTACAAATAAATCCCATAATACTTGGTAGGCTAATCTAATTAAAAAGTTAGCTACAACTGACACACATTCCCCGTTTAACAATTGAATCAATAGAAAATGCAACAATAACAACATCAACAACAATGAACGCTAGGCGAGCGTTATCTGTCTAACACAGCTGGACTTAAATAAACTTGGTAACAATCAAATGTAAACATGAAGAAATGAAGTGTTTAACACTTCAATTGAAGGTATTCTCATTAATGAAAGCAAAAGTTTAAGTTGTTGTACAACAACAATTTACATTAGGTAGTAATTAATAAAGTGCGTCGTGCTATTGGGGAAGGTGGCGGGGTTACATCTTCAATGAAAATTGTAAACAATAACCAACCCGGTGAGAAATTACATTACCAAATAATAGAGTAATGAGGTACTTTTAGGCGGTTATAGATATTTTCAAAGAAACCAGCTTGGCCATTTTTATAAATTATGCATGTATTATAGAGAAAGTTATTATAACTCTTGAAACCACATATCTTTATACCCTCCACCTTGGAAAGGAGGGTATATTGGCTTTGTCATTCCGTTTGTAACATCCTTAAATATTCGTCGTAGACCCCATAAAGTATATATATTCATAATCAGCATAAAATTCTAAGTCGATTTAACCATGTCCGCCTGTCTGTCCCTCTGTATGTCTGTCCGTCTGTCAGTTGAAATCACGATACAGCCCACATTATTTGACGTAGAGGTTGGTATTGAAAATGAGATATATCGGTCCACGTTCTGGTATAGTCCCCATATAACGGTACCTCCCGATATTCGGTATTTTGATGATTTATGCCACATTTTTTCATGGATTTGTCTGAAAATTGGTATTTGTAGGTCATAACGGGTCCCTGTGCGTGTGGCAAAACATTGCATGTAAAGGTCCACGTTTTGGTATAGCCCCCATATAAAGGTATCTCCCGATATTCGGTATTTTAATTTTTTTGCCACATTTTTTCACGGATTTGTCTGAAAATTGGATTTTGTAATGGGTTCTACCTCCTTTGGCGAAACATTGCATGTGTAGGTCCACGATTTGGTATAGCCCCCATATAACGGTACCTCCCGATATTCGGCATTTTAATGGTTTTTGCCACATTTCTTCTAATGTTTCCTTTACCCTAAGGTGGAGGTTACTAAATGTTTGGCCCGGCCGAACTTAATGTTTTTTTCTTTTACTTGTTATTTCTTAGAATTATACATAATTTCGCAACATATTATATCCTTTTTCACAAATTGGGAGGACATTAAATGTTAGTTGTGTCCTAAATTCTGGCAACACCTGTTAACTATAAACTCTCTTGTCCTCGGCACACATTCAAGTCAAGAGCCACAACATAGTTAAGTTCAGAGTATTCGAACTAAAGATCTGTACGTGGCTCCGATAGTTCCTGTCACAGAATGATGTCATTGAACTAGTTCGATCCGATACGACTCAACTTTTGTGAATTACCTTATCGAAATACTCATGAAGTAACCCCAACAATTTGAAACTTGAAAAAAATCTTACTTATAGAAGTGTGGCTACAGGCTGTGGTTAAAAAAACGACGATGTACCAATTTTGACCCATATCGATAAATATGAGATTTTACATTTGACTACTGTATTGAATCTGAGTTTGGTAGAATATATAGCTTTTACGGATAAGGGTATAAAATGTATAATTTTCGAGAATGGACAATATTGGTCCCAATCAATATATTATCAGCAGTACTAAAATGTACAATTTGTGCCCGATTTTCAGAAAATTTTCAACTCACATTATATCTAGTGTCAAGATGATATATATCGGTCAAATCCTTTTAATAACTTCTTGATACAAGGTCAAAATTTTGAAAAATCAAAACTACATAAAAACTGTGTCCGTTTCATGTTGAAACTTTTCACATCACTATACAGGGTGACATAAAAAAATGCAACAAAATCAAACGTTATAATTTTTACATTGTTTTCTTTAATTTTTATTGAATGACAGCAGAAAATGTCGAAAATGGCATCAAATTTTGGAGCACGTTTAGGTTTGTTCGAATTGGTCACCTTTGGCGCGAATTTTATTCACACTTAAATGCTGGAGTGCTCTAACGATAAGAACTTGTAGTTTTCCCAGCCAAATATAAAGAAATTACACTACGATGCTTGAATTCCATTTCGAATAACTTTTTTTCTGGAAAATTCCCACCAAAATGCTTTTGTACGCTTGTAAAAAATATAATGAGCTGTCACTGGAAAATTTTTAACAGTGGATTAGAAATGAAAGCTGTCTGAAGTTGGTTGCAGCTTCACATCTCACTGATTCTACAACGTTATATGAGTCTAGTCCCATGGTCCTTGAAAAAATATTTTTTCAAAAATTAACGTCCACGGTAATCTAATTTTCCTTGAAAATATGCTTTAAAAATCCATGGTTACTGGTCCAATGTTCCTTGAAAAAATATTCTTAAAAAACCATATTTGATTATCTTGATCCTTGAAAAATCGTTTGTGATCTGTATGTCTTTGAAAAAATATTCTTTAAACATCCATGGTTGGCGGTCTGATGTTCCTTTGAAAAAAAAATAGTCTTTGAAAAACAAAGTTTGGTGGTCTGTTGCTCTTTAAAAAAATATTCTTTAAAAAATCCATATTTGGTGGTCTGTAGGTCCTTGGAAAAAATGATGGTCCTTAAAAAAATATTCTTTAAAAATTAAAGTTTGGTGGCCTGTTGGTACTTGAAAACTATTCTTTAAAAATCCATGTTTGGTGGTCCGATGGTCCTTGAAAATTTTTAAAAATCAACATTTAGTGGTATTTTGGTCCTTGAAAAATATTCTTTAAAAATTCAAGTGTTGGTCCTTCAAAAATTATTTCTTAGTTTTAAAAATTAAAGTTTTGTGGCCTGTTTGTCCTTGAAAACTATTCTTTAAAAGTCCATATTTGGTGGTCTGTTGGTCCTTGAAAACTATTCTTTAAAAATCCAAGTTTAGTGGTTGGTTTGTCCTTGAAAAAATAAATCTTCAAAAATCGATGATTGGTAGTCTGTTGGTCCATGAAAAAATATTCTTTAAAAATTAAAGTTTCGTTGCCTGTTGGTCCTTGAAAATTGTTCTTTAGAAATTCGACGTTTGGTGGTCTTTAAAAATCCAGGTTTATTGGTCTATTTTTCCTGGAAAAAATATTCTTTCAAAAATCAACGCTTAGTGGTCTGTTGGTCCTTGAAGAATATTCTTTAAAAATCAAAGTTTAAGGGTCCACGTTTGGTGGTCTGTTGGTCCTTGAAAATATTTTTACAAACTTCGATATTTAAAAATAAGTTAATTTGTCAAAAGTAATATTCGGCTAGTACTGAGCATAAAAGCTGATCATTTTCAATATTCAATGTAAGCAATGTTAATTCTCTCCTCCCCCTTTCCACTTCTAAAACTACCACATATTTCGTTTTCTTATAATCTCACTTTATTCACCTATTCGTAATTTAAATTTAAAACTTGGCAATGACCTTTTCAGCCATAGCCTTAATACCAGTCCAGGTTTCAGTAACGAAGGGTTCGATTTGGGCGGGTTTGGGATCGAAACCGCTACCACCAGCAGGCAATTCCATGCAAATGGCAATGGGGATGTTGGCCTTGGCCAAAGCATAATCGTCACTACCACCAGCGGCGGCATACAAGACATTGGTGGAGGAGCCGACAGTGTAACGGGTGCCAGTGGAAGATCTGATGGCAGAGGCACCAGCTTGGGCAACTTCATCCAAATCCTTGACGTTATCGGGATAAGCACTAAAAATAACAAAAGAAAATGTTATAAAGTATCAATCGATCAAAAATTCAACGTTGTATAACTTACGAAGTGTAGCCCCATGGGTACAACAAGTAGTTGCCATAAGAGTGGAGGGTCAAATAGAACTTTGCACGTCCAGACAAGGAGAGCATCAAATCGCGTAGAAGTTGGGTTTCGGGTTCAGAGAAGGCGGTCTTACCCTTGAAGGTATCAGCACAGGACAAGCTGGAGGCACCAACCTCTCCCCAGTGGAAGTCGAAGTTGCGGTTAGCATCGGTACCAACACAGGATGAGGTGACGGGTTGACGGGTCTTACGCCACATACGGGAGCTGGTGTGGGTGTATTCATAACCATCGGGATTGACAACGGGCAAGATAACCCAATCGTAGTCCTTCAACAAGTGAGCGTTCTGCGAGTAGTTCTCAACCAATTGGTGGATGACATACAAAGCACCGGCGGGAGCAATCCATTCACGGGCATGGATACCAGCATCCATGAGGATGACCTTCTTGTTGGTCTTGCCGTCACCGTTGGTGATGGTAATGGTTTTCATGTCACGCTTTTCGTAGGATTTTCCCAAAGTTTTGACAATGACGCGGCTGGGGTAGGCCTTGGCCAATTCATCGAGGTAGGCATTGATGGCATCAAAACGTTGGAAGCTGGCGAAGCTAATGCGACCGTTGGTGTCCACAGCGGCGCGGGCATAGTTCATTTGCTCGGTTTCTTCGGCAATGCTCTGGGCAACATTTTCATTGATGACGGTGTAGGAAAGACCGAATCTGTTCAAAGTGGTTTCGAAATCGACTTGATCCTCGGGTTGGACCATGACACGGGCTGGCTTGTCGGCGATTTTGGGCAAATCGAAGAAATCGTAGTTGTCATTGGCGGAAAGGCGCAACAAGACTTCCTTTTCGAAGGCATTGTTGGCATTGACGTCGTAGATTTTGTAGCTGAAAATGAAACAAGACACAGGTTATGGGAATTTGGATTTTTCTTCAGTTTTGTTCCACTTACCCTTCATAGGTTTCCCCGGCGGCCAAAGCAATGCTGCAGAACAGCACGCCTAAAGCGATTTTAAAGAACATTTTGTTGGGAGTATTTCGAACACATTAACTGGACTGAATCGACAGTCGAATGATTTTCTACTTCGCTGGATATGAGCTTTATATACCTCCTGCTTTGGATTTTCATTGACTATTTTCCACCAATGAATTTTCTTATCAGTTAAACGCTACGAACGACAGTGGTCCGTGGGTAGTTCGTCGTATTTTCATATCACAAATCACTTCTTGTTCTTCTTCGTATTCTATCTATCTGACAAAATCAAATCGATTTCTTTTGTTTTTATAAGTTGAAATGTCGTCTACCTGACTTCTGAAAACATTTCGTATTTTCCACTTATCTTCTGCTGTTTAGGACATTCAAAATTCCTACAAAATTTATGATCTTCAATCACAGAATATTGCAATAAAGCCCAAAAAGCCGACGTAAATATTAGTGTGGTGACGTCGTCCGGTTTGTCATTAGATTATTCAAGTAAATTTTTAATTTTAGCAAAAAAAAATTAAAAAAAAATAAAAAATAAATAAACAAAAGCAAATAAATAAATAAATGAACCTAAACTTCCAAATCATGATTTCAAACTTTTATCCAAAAAACTACAGTTTTGAAATGTTTACCATTCAATATGTGTTGGGGAGCTTACAACTTATAATTTCTTTTTTTAAAGGATTAGAATGCTAATATAGAAGAAGTAAAAAAGCCGGGTAGGATATTTAATACACTTGTCCAATTGAAATTAACACATAAACAAATTTAAAAATCGGGAGGTACCATTATATGAGCGCTATATGAAAGTCTGGGACCATGAGAATAATTTCCAATTAAAAAAGTGTCTAAATTTCTCCAAATACAGGATAACGGGATGCTGTCGTTATGTGGTTGCTCTATGAAAATGTGGACCTACATAGACAATTAGCTATGTGAGAAGGTGAGATCTATTGATGTTATACCCTCCACTATAGTATGGAGGGTGTATTAAGTTTGTCATTCCGTTTATAACACCTCGAAATATACATTTTGGAAAGTATATATATTTTTGATCAACATAAACTTCTATGTCGATTTAGCGATGTCCGTCCGCATGTCCGTCTGCGGAAATCACTCTAGCTTCCGAATGAAATGAAGTAGATTGATAAAATTTTACTCAAATGCATATTATGTCTGCTGGATTTTTGCATTTTTATTTATTATTGAAATTGGGCCATGTAAATCCACATTTTGGTATAGCCCCCATGTAATGGTTCCTCCCTATTTTCGGTATTTTGATGATTAAAGCGACACTATTCACTCAAATTGTTTCAAATTTTGTATTTGAAGTTCATAATGGGGTCTACTAGACCGAAGACAGAAAATAGTCTATGCAGGTCCACTTCTTCGTATAGCCCCCATATAACGGTAACCCCGATATTCGGGTTTTTGATGATTTTAGCGACAATATTCACCGGAATTGTCTCAAGTTTGGTATTTGAAGTTCGTAATGGGTACTACAGCCTATGACTGAAAATTATCTGTGCAGGTCCACGTCTTCGTATAGCCCTCATATAATTGTACCTCCCGATATTTGGTACTTGGATGATTTTAGATACATTATTCACCGATTTTTTGAAGTTTCGCATTTGAATATTGTAATGGCTTATGACAAAAGCTACCTATGCAGGTCCATGTCGTCTTACGTTACGGCTACATTCGGTATTTTTAAGATTTTAACAGAATTTTTAATGGATTTTATTGTTTTTGAAAATTGCCAAATTCGTTCCAAACGGCGGAGGGTATTCAAAGTTCGGCCCGGCCGAACTTACAGTTTTTTTACTTGTTTTTTTTATTTTGGGACCATATAAACAGAATTTGGCGAGGATGTTTTCTACCAGATAAGAACACAAACTGCCCGTTTTCAGCAAACTCGTTTGGAAAGTGAGACTAAATCCCCAAAAAAATTGGTTGTATGGGGGCTATAACAAATAGTGGATCTATATGTCACATTTTCAATACCAACAATTTTACTGGCCTAAAAACTTTAAAGTGAGATTTGGTCCACGTACTTCATTCCGTTCGGACATTAGAGTGACTTCCACAGATCGATAGGTGGACAGACGGACGGACGGGTGAATATTGTAATGATAAACTAAATATACCAACCATAGTATGGTTGGTGGTACACAAAAGTCGGCAATTTATCCGATGTACTTTCTCTCGAGGACGGGGTTTTTTTCAGGCCAGATCTTGTGTTGGTAGAAATATCAGGATGAGACAATCAGACACTTTTTTTCACATTTAATAAGTCTTATGATTGTTCCAAATGTTGACTCTTTTTGGAGGAGGTACTTGATGGAGTAAAACGATGTTGTTCCACACGACCTAGCACTGAAGCAAATAATAGGATTTCCAAAGTTTGAACAAAATTGGATAATCCTTTCTTGTTTTATGAGGTAAATTATCTCTATGAAAATTGTAACCTTTTGTGGGGGAGGTAGCTGTAGGAATGGTCCGATCTCCACCATCATTATAACAGATATTGTGTTGAGGATAATATTGAGATGTAGCAAGTCTGAATGAAATCGGATGTTAATTTTGCTAATTATAAGTTTCATGGATATTCAAAAATTTGACCCTTTGTAAAGGAGTTACCAGAAGGTAACTCCTGTCTGGCTGGTGCGCACGATAACTCTCGAAGGGAGTATCCGATTTGGTCCAAGCTTGGTACATCCTTATATTATTATCAAACATAGGAGTGAGTTGATTATCCGATTTTGCTCCAACTTTGCAAATCTTAATATTTCCAGGTGCCAAGTACCTCCATGGGTAACAATTATCAATATTTTTATCTGTCATAACTTGTGAAGCAAGTCAGCCATTCTTAACAACTTATTATGTCAAATATTTCTCTCAACCAGAAACATGAGATGAATATGGAATTTACGATTTTGCATAACATTGGATATAAATGTTCGATTGTCTTGTAATTTTGCCCATACCAATATTTGATGTATGAAAATGGAATACTTCAGTTGACAATATCTGGTACCTCACGCACATTTTAACATTTTTTTTTAAATTATCGCATATCTCATATAAGGTAAAGGAAGTAACCAATATAGTCCAAACATGCCACGTAACAATATTTATATAACATTCATTTAGTTCCGATACGAAATGGACAATATTGGCCCATTCCTTCGGAACCTACTCCATAAAGGGTCAATAACTAGAATAATCATAACAGAAGTCAACATATATTTAAATAATCGAACATTGGCTGAGGGTATACATCGGTCGGCAAAACCGACTGATACTTTTTATTTGTATTTCCACACATTAGATGTAATGTGAAGTTGTGAGGTACGTCCCCCAATAAGGTATACATAGACAAGTGAACAACTATTTCCTCTTTTTCACATTTTTTGTTCAAAAATTTTTTATTTTCCCATTCAATATTCCTCAATATTTGACCGACACTGTCCCACATTTCAGCAACTCATAACTGTTTAGACTGAATGTAATCTACATCATAAATCGCTCCTCTCAATCGATTTGTCTTTCACGATAGAAGTGTGCCGTGCCGTTAATGTGATAAAGACCAAACTTGTGATTTCTGTTCAAAATTAGCTACCTGTAAATTATGATAATGAGATTTGTTTTGATCATTTGAATTTGGAACATTTGTGATATGATTTTGGAATACAATTTGATTTCAGTGCAATCTGTCTAGACAAGCAAATCATAATTCTAGTTGGTAGCATAAATTTAAATGTTCGAAATGTTCTTTATTTAGAGAACCCATACGACGTATTTTTTAATGCTAAAGTAAGTGTAGCATACTTAGCTCAGCATTGAAATTTCAGACACTCGATGTTAATCGGTAGCATTTGTACAAATATATACGTTTAACTTCCGTGTGAAAAACGTGGACCAAATATGTCGATTTCTAAATAGTCCTGTAACTTGAGAAAAAAAATGTCAATTTGAAGTTAATTAGAAAAGGTGGCTGAAATCTAAATCGTGAATAGATATCAGTAGTGCATCGAAGCCTATAATTACGTAGTTAAAAAAATCTATTTATTTGTCATATTTATTAAAAAAAAATTACTATTTATTTCCTTTCTAAAATAAAGGCTCGGTAATTTGATTTGTAATCTGCTTTTGCCTCAAATTTGCAGAAATTGTTAATGGAATCTGGCACAAAATGTATCCACTCCCTTTGCGTTATATAAAAACTCTTTTGAAAAATTTGATCTTTTGTAAGGAAGTTACCAAAGTTACCCATCTTCGAAATTTATATAAGTTTACTCAAAATATCACGATGTGCGGCGTTTGGGTCAAATCTCTCTAGGAGAGTTAATGTGCGCACCAGCCATATAGACATGGAGACGGAGAGAGGGATATGGCTAGAACGACTACTTATATCATGGAACAGATTTTCTTTAAAGAGACATAAGATCTAAAACCTCTGTTATAACGACTAATTTCAATATACATTGAAAATACTTACTTTACATATGCTTAATATATACATACAGACTGCTGTCATTTCTAAGCCACTCGTCCGACAGCGGATAAAGTTATTCCAGTGACAGCTTATTATGTTGTTTATAAGCGTACAAAAGCATTTTTGTGAGAATTTTCCAGAAAAAAAATTATTCGTGATGGAATTCAAGCGTGATAGTGTGATTTCTTTATATTTGACTGGAAAAACACAAGTGGCTATAGTTAGAGCGCTTCAGCATTTAAATATGAATAAATCGTTTGTGTCTCGTACCATCGCTCGTTATCGTGATACTGGTAGCGTAGCCCGACGTCATGGAAGTGGATGGAAGAAAACAGTAACATCAGCAGAAACGGTTCGAAAAGTAAAGAAGCGACTTGATCGAAACCCGCGTAGCAGTGGCCGAAAAATGGCTCGTGAGCTGAACATATCGCAATATTCCATTCGCCAAATATTGAAAAATGTGCTAGGGGTAAAGCCATTGAAATTCCAAAAAGTGCTAGGACTTACACCGAACAGAACAAAAGAAAGAAAAAAGACTCAAAAGAGCTAAAGAGTTGCTTCGCTTGGCCGATAGTGTTGAACTGCGGAATTTGGTTTTCTCCGATGAGAAGACATTCATTGTCCAGCA